AAAATTTATATAGCATAAGTCCATTTGCTCGTTCTTCGTACGATGTGATAAGCTTGTTTTCGCTTCAAGCCTCCGACTAGTAAGATTTGAAGGCGATTAGGCAGAAAATTGAGTGAGTTAGAGTAAGTTTTAAATCAATAATTTGGTACTTTATATATGAACTTTCAAACCGCATCAAGTCAAGAGCGATATGGAATTTTATGACAGTAGATAACCTCAACCGAAAAGCATCTACAGAGACGACTTTGACAAAAAAGAATTCCTTGTTTTACCACATTTGGTATCCCAACGTATCAGAAAAATCCAATTAGGCGTCTTTATTCATCGTCAAATCTCTACAATTCACAAATTTCAAGATGAGATCACTTTCTTGTAATCATACGCGTATGCTCCCATAATCAGCGACATTCCTCCATCGGCTACAATTGACTCTCCTATGATAAACGATGAAGCACGACGATCAGCCAAGAAAGCAATTACATTCGCAATTTCAATGGGATCGGCATATTTTCCGCGAGGACACGAATGTTTCATACTTCCATAAAAGTCATGCAACTGGAAAATTGCATCATGATGACGTTACTATTCGTTTGGAAAAACGAATAATACCTTGTCAGACTGTTCTTTAGTGAGACCTGTCCTCTGGGCAAAATTCGTCTTCACCAGGCCGGGACTTCAAACAAATATCATTTTATAGTAATTTGAAATCATATAGGTATGCTCACCTCACTGCATTTACTCGCACACCATATTCAATTAAATCAATCGCCAAAGCCCTAGTTAACTGATCCAAACCAGCTTTCGCTACTGCATAATATGGTGTTTGAACGATCTAAAAGCATAAAATATTCAGTATGATACAGCTTATAATGTAGCAGGTGACTAACCCCAAACTTCAAACCCGAAATGCTGCTGACGTTCACAATTTCGCCTTTGCTTTTTATGAGGTGAGGACGAGCCACTTGTACCAGCTGAAGCACGCTGCAATGGTCACTCCTATTTCGCTCTAATAAACAAAACCGTTTAAGAGGTTAAAACGGATTGTACACGAGAAAGCAGCCGTTTCCTTAGAACTATAGCTCATATTGTGATTTTCTTAAAACTAGTCGTTGTTCTGAGCTCTTTA